GATTAAATGATGATCAGTAAGCCCTAATTTTTTTTTTTTGCGAAATTTCGTACAACCTTTAAAAAAAATATTAAAACTTTTTAATTTAACGTCACGTTTTGTTGTTGTTTTTTTGTTTGTTTTTGTGTGACGTCATAACAATTAAGTTTTGTTTTTATTTTGACACGATCGTAAAACGCAAACGACTAAATTAGTTTTTTGATTTATTTATTTATTTTTAGCAAATAATTTAATGTTACCGCCGAAAAATTTATGGATTCGTAGTAGTAGTACTGTGAACTTTTCAGGTTTCGAAGAAGTTCAAACACGGAGGTCAAATAATTAGAGTTTATGTATGTATGTTTATTTATTTATTATCGATTACGTAATTTTTTTTTTCAGGTTTTGAAATTATTAAAATAAAAAAAAAAACATCAAAACGAAATTATAAATAATCGATATTTAAAAATTCAACCCCGTCGCCATTTTTTTAAAAATTATTTTAAATTCGAATTTGTTTTCGGAATCGTTTCCGGTTTGTTAAACTACTTTTATTCGCGTCCCCCCAACACAAAATTCCAGAAATTTTTTAAAATTTTTATCCTTTTTTAAGGATCTAACCTTCCACCTCTTTAGGTCAAATCTAAGAATTCGTAATAAATTTTTTTTTAATTACTTCGTATCCGGTTTTTAACGTCGCGATGACATGCGGTTTTAACGTCATTATTATTATTATCATTATTATTATTTTTAACAACAAAGTAATTTTAATTATTTTTATTAACTTTCCTATTTTGGGGTATGAGTAATTAAAAAAAAAAAAAAAATTTTTAATCGAGTATGACGAAATTAAATACACGAGAGTGAAAAACAGGTGCCGAATAAGGTTCATTATTATTATTATTATTACGTTTTTATTAAAACATAAATTTTTTCTTTTAGGGTTTATCTAATAGTAAACTAGGTTGTTTTTAATTGTTACACGTTTGTTTTTTAATTAATTAATGAAATACTTAAAAAAAAAAAGTAACATAATTTTTGTTTATTTTCAGGATCATTATTATTATGATAATTTCAACAATGGCGGAAAAAAGTACAAGTCATGATTTTGGAAAAAGAATTTTCTATTAAATAAGCAAAAAAATTTTGATAAATAAATGATTATGTTGCGAAATATGAACGACAGCAAAACAAAAACAAAAAGGTTTCTTTTTCACTTTTTATATTGAAATTTAAAATGGTTTTTATGAATGAATCCATGAGAGATTCTCCCTAATGTAAATTTTAATTCAAATAATAATACAACCAACAAACAAAGAGTTGAACACTCATCATCATAATGTCAACAAACACTATTAAATGTTGTTGTTTGTATTATGTTTTAATATTGTTTTAAATTCGCAACGAACACGTTGAATGTTTGTTTTTTTTTTGTTGCCATCATTCAATTTTTATATTCACACATAATAATGATCTAATCCTGTTGAAATGTTTATATTTGTTTTCAGTACGACAACATAATCAATTAAAAATTTAATTAAATTTATCCGTTTAATTTATTTTCAAGGATTGACAAAAAAAAATAAATAAAATGCGTAAAAATCCATAAAAGGAAAGAAACTCTTCGCCCTTTGAAAAAATATAAAAAAATTACGTTTGAATTATTGGATCTAAAGAGGTCATAACCACGCAAGAGGAGAATTATTATCATTAGTACTCACGATTTACTATGAAATAGAGCAAAAGGTGGATGAGAAATAACAAATAAAACGGAAAAAGAAAAATAATAATAATAATAATTTTTTAAACGGATATCGAATCATTAAAAAAAAATTTTTGTTTTGTTTGTGTTGATGTTGAACGTGATGAACTTTCTCTTTAATTAATATTTTATCATGAGATATCTTTTTTTTTTTTTTTTTTTAATGGAAAACAAACGAGAGATGAGATAACAAACGGGGGGAATGATGACATAAAAGGGCAAACAATGATAAAGTGAGGTACGGACTCCAAAAAAAAAAAAAAAAAAATGAAAAACCGGTTGCATTTTTTTGCATTAACACATCAAACCGTTTTTTTTCTCCAGTTATGGTCAAATGCACATAATAAAAAAATTTTTTTTTTTGGAGGGGGTGTTTCGAAATGTCGCAAGTAATATCGTTAAATTATCATTTTTATCAATTTTTATCAATATTGACATACAGAGAGAGAGAGAGAGAGAGAGAGAGAGAGAAAGAGAGAGAGAGAGAGAGAGAGAGAGAGAGAGAGAGAGAGAGAGAGAGACAAACAGACCATTGTATAAATGCATACATTTTTTTTTTTTTTGGGAAAAATAAATAAATACCTTTCATCAATGAATCATGTTTTAATACTGATTGGTTTATAATAAGGTATTAACTCGTAAAAACATCTTTAGATTACGTGTTTCGATTAAATTTTAAAGAATTTTGACATTTTTAAAAAAAAAAAGGCGTACCTGATATGTTATTCAATTAAAAAAAAATTTTCAACGCCAAGTCAGGTGTGTACGCCTTCTTCTTATTTTATTAATCCGGAAGTTATTCGTTAAAGTAATGATTATATTTAATTAAAATCCTTTTACTTAATCTTATTATATATGTTCATAATATTGAAAATTATTAAAATGTCTTTATGAATAATATGAGTTTTCAATGAAGGTTTTATCTTTAAATTATGTATATTAATTATATGCAAAAGGCAAACGGTCAACCTAATTATTATCATTATTAT